GTACACATACACACACACACATACACACATTTATTTATCGTTTTTTTTGTGTGTGAAATATACATTTATTAGGTTTTCCATAGCTTTTAATGTCCCCCTTATTTTCCATATTTTTTAGAAAACTTAGGAAGCATCAATAGGTAAAATATAGTAATTGAAATTGACACTTGAGTGCATCTGTGCAGATACGCCCTCACATACGCGCTCATACACACAAGTTTTTCTTTTATAAAAGCGGAATCATCATGGCCACTTGCCCCACTCAGTGAGACCAAGCACTTCCCGGGTCCTGGCACTGAATTGCCTGCCCTTTCCTCATTCTCACTGGAGCGCTACCCTCCCTCCGGAATTCTCATTCAGAACCCTTTTCTTTCTTTTTGCCTGCCCCCACCCTGGGGATCGAACCCAGGAACGCTTTACCACGGGGCAACATCCTCAGCCCTTTTTATAGTTATTCTGAGACAGGGTCTTACTAAGTTGGTAAAGGCCTCACTAAGTTGCTGAGGCTGCCATTGAACTTGAGATCCTCCTGTCTCTGCCTCCTGAGTTGCTGGGATTACTGGCATGCATGAGCACACTCAGCTAAGAACCTTTTTCTAATCTGAGGATATTTGCCTGTCATCTATTTTCTGTGCACCCTGATTTTAGAATTTGTAACTAAACCCACCACTTGCTCCGGAGACCCACCCCTTCACAGTCCCTTTTTCTTTTCACAGGGTGCAAGAGAAGAGAGTGTCCACCTCGCAAGACATTTTTACAAGGTAATTGGCAGCACAGGTGGACATCAGCATGGGGTGTCTTGAGGAAACAGGATCATGATGACTGGTCCCATGTACATAAAGGTTATGTGCTGCAGGATTTTTAGACCTATGATCACTGAGTAAAAAATGCTCGATTCTTACTCTCCAGAGCAGTGCTCTTGGAACTTTCGTGCTCTCTTAACAGAAAAATTCTTGAGGACTCCATATAACTAAATGATACAGGACGGACTTATGTGCATGAGTCACATGTGCTGATACATGTACAATCACTTGTAAGTCACCCATGATTTTATTTACGTGTATGAACATACAGACATGCTTGGAACCCTCATGGAGACCGCTGACCTTTGTCATCGGGTCTAGTGAGATTTTACAAAGTCATCTTTCAGAACCTGAAAACTTCACAGAGACTGATCTTCAGGTCCAGGGGATTCGTTTTGGATACCTGGTTGGTGTCATCTTGTTTGGCTTTCTTCCCTCATGGTGCTGGCACGGGAACGGGGGCCTCAGGCGTGCGAGGCATGCACCATGCCAGTGAGCTGCCTCCGTTACCCAGGCACACTGTTCGTCTGCTTGGGCTGCTATAACAAACTCCCATCAGCTGGGCGGCCTGTGAGCAGTGGACACTGATCCCCACCGTTCTGGGGAGTGGGAGTCCAAGGGCAAGGCAGACTCCGGCTGGAGAGGGCCTGCTTCCTCGTGGGTGATGCCTTCTCCCTGTGTCCTCCAATGGTGGAAGGGGCAGGCAGTATCTGGGGTCACTTTTATAAGGTCACTAGCCCCATTCACAAGGGCTCTATCTTGATGACCTAGTCACCCCCCAAACACTCCATGCCGTGTCACCCTGGGGTTAGGATTTTAACACAGGAATGTTGGAGGGACGGAGACAGGGAGCCTTACCTTACAGGGCCTCATCGTTGGCCAGCATGGTGTCAGGTGGTGCTAAGGGCCTTCTCGTTCTTCAGCCTCCATGTCAGCTCTCCCCAGATCCTGTTAGTCACGGTTTCCCTCCTGAAAGCAGGGCTAGGGCACATCCCCTAGGAAGGGGAAGGGGAAGGGGTCAGCACTGCCCTTTCCTTGACCTGTGCCCATGCTTTCACTATACTCTCTAAACTGCTGTCTGTGCAGGAAGCTTTTACGCCCACTACCCCTTGTTGTCAGTCTGTAATGAGACAAGGTCAGGTCCTAGAACCTGGAGGGCACCTTGCGAGGCTCAGTTGACTCCACCCAGTGTCAGTGGTGGACATGCCCAGTGAGTAGCACCACTGTGGCCCCACTCACTGGGGAGGACATCCTAGCTCCTGTCTGAACACCCAAAGCAACACCTGGCCTTGGAGTAGGGACACGCTCCCTCTAGCCAAGCCCAAAAGAAAGGCCTGTGGCTGCTGCCTTAGTCATCCTCAAGTCTCTTTCCAGCAGAACTGCTCTAAATTTATCTACCACCCTGGCGCCGAAAGCTTTTGGAATCCAGAGACAGAAAGGCATAGAGGGGGACGTTTCCCCAGAGGGTGCTTCTTTATTGACACCAGGGAAGCCCTGCCTGGCAGAGCACTGGCCCGGCACCAGGAGGCCCTGGTTCACCCCAGTGATGCCTAAGGGCAGCGGATGGGTCTGGGTTTTATCTTCATTCTCCCAATCCGTGTTTTTGTCCGTGCTTTTATCTTGTAATGTCTGCATCCTGAGTATAAGGTCTCAGGAGGCTCGGGGCGTTCCGGGGGCCATCGTTTCTGTTGGTGCTACTCACAACATGCAGGAATGTTCAAGTTTATCTATGGTCCTGGCCCCTGGAAAAGTAGAAAAGGGTCTCTGTCTTTCCAAGCTGACTCTGTTATGTGTGTGTGCACGCTTGTGTGGCTGTTTGAGGAGCCAGACGAGACAGCTGTGACTGTCATTGCCCCAGTAGAGGTTATAGTGACAGTGAGCACGAACATTTCCTGAGCCCTGGCTGAGGGGCAGACTCTGCTCCGTGTTTTATGCACTCCTGCTCATTTCCCCTCACACTGAGGGGCCCAGAAGACGTGGCCTGGCAACCTTTGTCCTTGTGTCTTCCCATCCTTGCAGAGGGGCTGTCACAAGTAGACCTGGCCCCAGCTTCTGTGTCACACATCCAACTTTGTGACCACCACCATTCTGAAGGGAATCTCCTGGGCAGAGAGAGGCTCGGCCCCGAGGTGCTGTAAGACCCCGGGGGCTCTCCTCAAATGCAAGCAAAACAGGTTGTGTGATTTTAGGGTTAAGCATTCTTAATAATTCTCTTCTTTCAAATTGTGGGCCTCATAATTTTAACATGGTGACTTACCCAGAACTCCCCATTTCTACAGCGATTCTTGACAAATAGATGATGTCTAGCACTTGAAATAGCAACCTCTTCTATATTTTAGTTATGTACGATGCTATTTTTGTTGTTGGTTTCTAATTAACTGCTTTGACAAAAAGAATTCAATATGCTTTTTAAAAAAGGAGAAAAATGCTGAGTGGTGCAATTTGATATTTGCTGATTTTGAGCATGTGTGTTCACATTCACGTGTGTATTTTACTTCCTGGTGATTTACGAGAACTTGATAATGAGAAACAGATGGCCTCAGAGGCCAAGAGCTAGAGTTTATAATACTGTGTTTATGGAAAAAAAAAAAAAAAAAACATGAATAGTCTTCTCTTCCCTCCCTTCCTTTCTTTTTAGGGAGAAGACATTTTTTTGGACATGTTTGAAGATGAGTATAGAAGCATGACGGTAAGTGAGGGCCGTCGCACACCTGATGGGCGCACGTGTGCTTGCCAGACCCACAGGAGACTCTGGGTCTGACGGGGCTTTCTGAGCTGGTGGGAAGTCAGTTTTCAATGGAGCCCTTTGATCCCCACCACCACTGAGATTTCAGGTCACATTCACTCCCCTGTTGGGTCATGCCTATGATAGGAGTCAGAAATATGCACTTTGATACGAATAGCACTGGGCGTGGGGGGGTTATTGAGGGTCTGTTCCAGCCCATCAAGAAAGGCAGGTTATGTGCATATTAAATCCCTTGGTCTTCACATCAACCAAAGGGAAAAGCTGCTCTCATTGTCTCCTTTTTGTTAATGAGGAAACTGGGAGTCGGAGAGGCCAAATCATGTCCCACTTGTGTCCCGCTGATGAGTGGCAGAGCCAGCCTTCCTCCAGCAGAGCATCTGGCCTTACAGTCCCTTCCTGTCCCTGTGTTCTGTGGTGTCTTCTGCTTTGCCACTGCCCGGCACATTCCGGCAGGCAGTGAGTCTTGGGAAGCCACCACGCAGGAGATAACAGCTTTCTGTTTGTTCGTCTGTCTCTGCGTCCCCAGCCCCTGCCCCTGAGCAGAACCGTTGCCAGGCGGGCAGGGACAGATCTCGTGGTCCGAGTCAAGACTCTGTGTTGAACGTGAGCTCAGGTCTTGGGTAGAGAGAAGCTGCACTCAGTAAACAGATGACAAATTCTCCTTTTTGTGGACATTACTCACCAAAGTAGGAAGTGCTTTGGACTGTTCATAGTAAATGTGTTTAAAATGTCAAAACGACAGTGTGGCTAAGTGTCTCCTGGCTTCAGGGTCCGTGCACTGGGCTCTGAGCCGCAGGCCTCAGCACACCGTCCCAGTCCCTGCACGCCCTGAGGCCTCGCGGGGCCTTTCAAGGCTCTAGAGGCGCCCAGCAGCGGCCAGCAGCCAGGCCTCCCGTGCTGCGTGGCTTCGACGGCCTCGCTCCTGTTGGTGCACACAGTCCTCTGTCCCCTCCAGCCCTTCAGAAGCACGGCTCAGACTTGCGCTCTTCGGAAGAGTGATCAAAATGGAACGGATTCGGGGATTATTTGCATTTCATCGTATCCCCGACTCCTCCTTTTACAATGTCGTTCTGTTCTCCATAGTTTGGTTTCCTGTTTGGAAATGTAAATTTCCACATGTCACTTGCCATGTGGGAAAGCTTGTTTGCGTTTTTTGTGTGCTTACTGTGCAACGTTGGGCAAGTTGCTTAAACTCGGAGCCTTGATTTCTCTCGTCTGTACAATGAAGCCACGTGACAGAGCCAGGATGAGTGTAGAATACCCTGCGGGGAAGCTTCATGCAGCCTCCGTGGGCAAAAGTGTCCAGTGTCCATTCCCTTCCCTTCCCACCCTAGGGCGCTTTCCTGGGTTTTGTTTGTTTTAATCCATTGTTTACTGCCTAATGCCTGGCATTCTAGAAAAATGCGACAGTGACACACCCTGGAACTGCAGCTGGAGTCCGTCCTCAGCTCAGGCCTGGGAAATCGGCCCCTGAGTAAAACCAGATGTGGACGGGCCTTGAATGCTGCTGCAGTGCCCGAGGAGGGGCCCAAACCAGGCCTTGGCTCTGGGTGCTCCCCCCGCTCTCCTTAGCTTAATGCGAGAGGTGCAGTGGCCCTGAGGCTGGCCTCCGGTGGCGGACTGCAGGGCACCCAAGGGGAGGCTGTGAGCAGCAGGGGAGCTGTGAGCAAGTGGGGCAGGCCGAGAAGTGCTGCCGGAAGGCCCAGGCTTGAGGGCATCCCATGGCCAAAACAGGGCGCTGCCCCTGCTCTGGAATACAGGTATTGGAGGTGGGAGACCTCAGACCTCTGAAGGAAGGTACTTCACAGGGCCCAAAAGAAGAGAGAGGCAGCCTGCAATGAGTGATGCTGTAGCCCCAGCTTCCCTGTTTTGGGGGCCCATGGTGGAGACTGAATACAGGGGCACTTTACCAGTGAGCTACATCCCCAGCCCTTTTTTTGTCTTGAGACAGGGCCTGCTACATTGCTAAGGCTGGCCTTGAACTTGTGATCCTCCTGTCTTGGCCTCCTGAGTGGCTGGGATCATAGGTGTGACCTCCATGCCTGGCACCCTTGGCTTCACCTAAAGAAAAAAATCTGCAACTTAGAAAACACAGACGGCACCTTGCTCATGCATCTGCCCTCCCAAGTGCGGGACCTTCTTAGAGGCTTCCTGTGATGTCTCTCTCCTAGATGAAGCCCATGAATGTGGAGTATCTCATGATGGATGCCTCCATCCTGCTGCCCCCGACAGGCACGCCGCTGACAGGCATTGACTTTGTGAAGCGACTGCCGTGTGGTGACGTGGAGAAGACCAGGAGGGTGAGTGAGCCCTGGCCAGAACCCTTGCCAGGCGGGCAGGGACACATCTCGTGGTCTAAGTCAAGACTCTGTGTTGAACGTGAGCTGTCTTGGGTAGAGAGAACCTGCACCAGCCGATGCTCTCCCCAGGGAGCTGCCCTTGAAAACGTCGTGGCCCTGGCAGCACTGTGGGCTGCACACCCGCTGCCTGGCAGGGCAGAGCGCAGCCTGAGCCCTGAGCTCCCAGAGCGGAAGCCAGGAGGTTGGGCTTCTGCAGACCCATGGGTGAGCTCGGAACCTGCAGCGCAGGTGATTCGGGCCTGAAGGCTGCCCGGAGATCTCAGGACCCCCAGAGATGGCGTGCCGTTAAGGTATCTGACAGATCTTGGGGCTAGGCACACGCAAGTGAAATTATGATTCTGGGGGCCTGTGGAGAGGAGAGGCGGGCGTGGAGGGCAGATCAGTTCTCAGAAGTGGCTGGAGCGTGCGCTTCCGTTATCAGCACTTTTCTCCGTGGTGGCGCTCTAGGAAGCGGCGCAGCAGGGCTTCATGGTACTTTATCTCCCCCTGTGATCACGGTGTCTTTCTTAGAAAGCACCACAGCCTTTTCCTAGAAAATCACTCCCAGAGACGGGAACATCAGGGGGCGACTTAGGGGAGCTCATTGCACCTGACTCTGGTCATCAGCCACATCTTCTTCTGGGGCCATCTGTGTGGGCCTGCAGTGGCAGAGGTGGTTTACCTGGGGAGTCTGGAAAGTGGGAGTGACCTGCTGCGTGCACCCGGACAAGAGGGATCTGCAGCCCCCCCCACCCCCGCCAGCTGTGCTCTTGTCTTTATGGCCGAGAGGTGCAGAGGAAGTGGGCCCGCGGGTCTTGAGTTGATCCACAGTTCCGGTTGTCTGAGCAAACCCACAGACCTCGCCCCAGGACCCACCCTGGCTGGGCCGCGCATGCCCATCTTCCTCATGCTCCAGCAAGCACTGCAGCCCGCTGGCCAGCCCGTGGCTCTGTTGGTGGGGGCACTGTGTGCACTGGCACCCTTGGTGTCAGCGCTCCTGGAGACGAGTTCTGAGTAACAGGCTGTGGGGGCTCCTCCTGGGGGCTGGCAGCTGCCCTCAGCCTCTGGCCTGAGGGGCATTCCCTGGCAAGTACCAACGGGACGCACATGCCTGGGGCTCCAGAGTCCCCAGAGCTCAGAGGCCCTTTCCGGGTCCTGAAGCGGAAGGTGCAGTGCCTGAAGATGGGGAGCTGTGGCCTTGATGATCAGGCTCTTACTCTTCTTAACATCTTTTGTTATAAAATAACACTTTTTTCAAAAACATTTTTTAGTTGATGGAACCTTATTATTTATTTATTTATTTATGGTGCTGAGACTCGAATCCAGTGCCTCACACATTCTGGACAAGTGCTTTACCGCTGAGCCCCAGCCCCAGCCCCTAAAATAACTCTCTGTAGCACTTCTTTACATGGATTGCCTTATTTAATTCACCCCCACCCTCGGAGGTGGCCACTGTTGTTTCCCCACTGCCCAGAGGGAGCTTCTGAGACGAGAAGGTGAGCCAGCGTCCCCAAAGCCACCCGGGAGTCAGGAGCTGGCCAGGCAGCGTGGCCTCCAGAGCCCAGGCTCAGGCACTCTGTCCCACTGCTGCTTCCTGCAGCCATCATCCTGTCCACTAGCCCTGGTTGAGCTGGACACAGGACATCAAACATAGCCAGTCCCCCAGGGCAAGGTGGGGAAGGCAGCAGGGTCCAGGTGCTGGGCCGGCACTGAAGTGGCTTGAGACTGGGTCCCTAATCCCACCTGGGGTGAGGAGCAGGCACCAGAGGGGGTGACCCTTAAGCCAAACCTGTGCAGGAGAGGGCTGGGCAGCTGGGAGAAGACAAGGCCCAGAGAGGAGTGGCACGCCCTGAGGTCTATGAAAAAGGACGAGGCCGGGGGGTGGGGGTGCTGGCAGGGGGCCCTTGGAGCCTGGCGAGGACCTGGCTGTTACTTCTTAGCTCTGTTTAATGACATCACATGCCTTTGGTTGGGGCAGAAGGTCTTAGCCATAAGAGGGCAATGGGAGAAATTCAAGGGTGAGCAGGCAGGTCTGTGGCCAGATAGGACGTGGGCTGAGTGACAGGCGGCTCTTAGCAGCGGGAGCAGCCAAAGCTGCTCTGCAGAGGTACTTCAGAGTAGAGCCCAAAGGACAAAGAGGAGCCAGGAGAGTTAAAGGAGGCACTTTCCAGGCAGGGAACAGCCCATGCAGAGTCCTGAGGTGCCAGAGAGGGCCGCGTGTCCCAGGAGCACCAGTGAAGGCAGAGGATGGGGGGCGGGCAGGCCTGGAGAGGCACCTGGCTATCCACCGTCCTCCCCTTGCCCTTCATGACTTACCCCAGTCATTCTTTCACTCGACATATTTGTTGAGCCTTTTCTAGGTGCCAGGCATGTGCAAGATGCAAGGGACAGGAGGTGCTCAGACCAAAACAGCAAGAGTGCCCCTGAGCCACGCCAGCCTCAAGGGGAAGTTCATGATGAAGAAAGGTCACGGGAGCTCATGGGTCTGATGGGAACACTCCCGCAGAACTTTGAACTGGGCTGGAGCCACCCTGCACATAGGGGCAATTGAGAGAGGCTGCTAAGAAAGAATGCAAGTTCATGCCTCAGAGCATCCATGGCCCAAACCCCAACACTAGCTGTGTGACCTCGAGCACGTTTCTTAACCTCCCTGATCCTGAAGTTCCTCAGGGACCCTGCCCCTTAGCTCTTCCCCTCAGGAAATGAGAGTGCAGCTGAGAAGCGAGCGGCCCAGCAGCTGGCAGACAGTGAGCGCTTGGGTGTGGGCTGTACAGGTGAAGCACTTGGCACCCGGGAGGGCAAGGCTAGGATCTCCAGCCTTCTAAATCTTTTGGGGGAGGGAAGACGGTCACGTCTCATTTGGGGGGTTCTTCTGCCCAGAGGAGTCCAAGCCACCCTAAATGGCCACCCTAAATCTTAATATCTCTAATAATTAACAAATACTAACACACAGACACTCAGAAATATATTTATAAAAGCAAAGCCCCTGAGAGTCCACATGGCTCTTGAACTAGACAAAGACAACTTGGCTCTGGTGGTTTATTTAAGGGGTACATCAAAGGCAGGGGTCAGGCTTCAAGGGCGGAGTCTTGCTTCTTTATGTCGTGCGGTCAGCAGGTGATTGGCATCTTGGCAGGTCCTCTCAGGTGCTGTGTGGGATCTTGGGCAGAGCTGAGGGGGAAGTTCACCCACATCAGGGGTCAGTCCCTGTGGGGAGTGCCCCAGGGAGTTCCTCCAGAGGCCGCTGTGCGCCACAGTCCACACGCGGCCCACAGACGGCCTGAGGCTTACTGCTGGAGGAAAGGGGTAGGCCTCCGAGCCCCGCTCTGCCCTCTTCCTGCCATGAGCTCGGAGCAGGGAGCGCAGGAGTGCTGGCCCACCGTCCCGCGTCTCTCCCTGTCCCCTCGTCGACCCAGCAGGTCTCGTGTTTGTCACCAGTGACCTTGAGCATGTGGGGCCTTTTGCTTTACTCTTTGGCTGTGTGACAGAGAAGAAGAGCAGTGACAGCCCAACATTTCCAGTCTCGGGAAGAGCTCCCAGATTCCATGACCAAGCAGGGGTGGGCAGATCCTGTGTCTCCTGCCGCTTTTGCTCATGCACTGTCTTCTCAAGGTGGCAGAAGTGAGCCCTGGCCTTGCTTGTGTCCCCTGCCCCCTTCTACGCTTTCCATGTAGCACAGGAAGGTTTGTCACAGTGCAGTTTTGGTCTTGCTTGTTTTGCGGTGCTGGATGGAACCCGGAGCCTCCGCGTGCTGGGCGAGTGCCCCCCCCACCAGCGGCACCCGGAGCCCATGGGACAGTGGCCGTAAACGGCTGTCTTGTGACTGCATAAAGGCTTTTTGGCAACTTCTGCCATAGTTTACTTAGGCATTTTCCTGCTAGTAGGCATTTTGGTTGCTTTCACTGTTACATTATTTTCAACTGAGCTGTTATGAGCTGCTTCATGAATACAGCCTCTTTTTTCTTTTGCATGTTTCTTTGGGATAAGTTCCCAGAGACGGCATTTCTGGTTCGGAGGGTGTGAACGTCTTTTTGTGCCCCTGCACACTGCCACGTTGCTTTTCCGTGGGTCGCACTCCTCTTAAACTGCCTTAGCACTTCCTTAGCGATGACTGACTTTCACAGCCATTTCCGTGGCCTCGGTAGGCTTCTAATCTGAGTGACTGTCGCCTACACTGAGCGCCTCGCTCACACAGCAGGGACAGAGGGGTTGAGAGCTGAGCCAGGGCCACCCCCATCTATGCTGGGCACACCTCTGCCCCTCTCCTTGCCCCTCCACTCTCACGCCTCACGGCACCCCATTTCCGGAGCACTAGCGGGCCTCAGGGAATCCGTGTGTTCACCTAAAGGCCCAGCTTGAGCCAAGGTCTGTCTGACTCCAGATCCGCCTCCCGCCCCTGCTCCCTGGACTCCTTCCCCGGAAGCACTGCGCTTGCCAGGGTTTGCCTCCAGATTCACTGAAGCGAGGAAACAGGAGAACGCGGTTCAGATTTGAGCTTGGTTGGCTGGCCCTGCTTTTCAAAAGTGAATCTGTCCTCCTTGGTATTCTATGAAAAAACCTGAAAGAATAATAATTTATTATTCTCTTTTATGCTTTTAAGCTTGCATCTGTATTCAGCAAAAAGAAAAGAGAAGCACTCAATAAAACGGGGTCCCAGGCCCTGGCTTGACTCTTCTGAAGACCAAGAAGTGTGGTTGGAAGAACAGACTTAGAAGGCAGTCTTGCACCCAGTGACCTTGGGCAGGAGCTAACATCCCTGAGCGCTGGTTTCTCTGTCTGTAAGATGGGAGCCACGCAGGGTTGTTAGAAGGCCTGAGGGGGGGACACCGCACAGCCCGCACGGTCCCCGGCAGGCTGCGGTGACCAGAGTGCTGCTGTTCCAGGAGGTGGTGGCGTGCAGTGTGTGACCCTCAGCCTCGTGGCCCAGCATTCTTGGTGGGCTTTGGGCACCGTGGCGCTGGTCAACGTGCTTGCCAGGCCCTCGTAGACCCCCATGGGAGGTGGCTTCTGTCCCCAGGGAGCACCTGCCTGTGGGAGTCTGCCCCTCCGCCCACCCCTGACTTTGAAGAGCACTCTTTCTACTCTTGGAAGCTGGGGCAGAAACTAGGAAAAGTAGTGGGATTTCCTTTTATATGTTTTATGTTGTATTTTATATTTTAAGTAGCTTTAGTTTTTGTTTGTATTCCTGGAAATATCTTCCATTTGTTGTTTGCCGAGCAAAAGCAGATGTCTTGCCAAAAGGCCTGTGTTGGGCGCCAGGTCCAGGCTCCTTGCGTGTGTGCTGGACGGCCTCGGCTTCCCCAGGCTTGGGCGGAGGAGACAGTGGTGCATCTCTGCTTTCTCATCTCTGCTCTGGTCCTGCTGGCGTCTGCCTTTAGAGCCCCAGGAGGAGGGGCCAGGGACGTGAGGCCCCCTTGAGTGGGACCTGCCTGGTTGGGCCTTTTCTTCCTCTCTCCGCATTCCCAAGGTCATGTCTCCTTATTTGAGAGTTCAAACTGCCATATGTTCCCAGTGACCACCCACATCTTGAGCCTTCTATGCTGGGCTGGCACAGGGCTGAGGAACACAAGCACCTGACATTGCTGAGTCTCAGCCACTTAGCATCTGTGGGACCTGAGGTCATTCTGCCCACGCAGCTCTCTTTCTTCCCTGAGGCCTTGAAGTTCACGGCGGTACCCCCAGCCCCTGGTAGACAGTAGGTGCTTACTAAATGTAAGCTCTTTTGATTTTTTAACAGAACTCCACCTCTTGGGACAAATCTGATAGTTAACAGTTGTCTTTATGGAAACTGTACTTTACAATCTGTACTGCTAAGAGCTCAGGTCAGACCCCAGTGCCGCCACCGCAGCCACCGCTGCCAACGCAGCACAGAGCTTTGTGCTGCGCAGAGAAGATGCAGTGCTTCAGGAGGGCAGTGCCCTTCCAGTGTCCTCCGCAGGAGACTGGTCCAAGGTGTCCCACCAGGTGGGGACCAAGGCAGGACCCAGGAGCAAGGAAGTGGGCAGACGAGCAGCCTCATGCCCAGGACCTGACGAGGCCGTGTAAGACCTGGGAGGCACCTCACGTGGGCCAGGGCTGTCCTTCTCAGCATCTGTGGGAGGCCTGCTGCAGTTCAACTTTGTGCAGGTCACCTGTGGTGACAGTGGTTTGTCCCTTCATCCTCCTCTGTGTCCCGGTGGCATCTGTTAAGTGGATGGCTGGCTGTCCCTGTTTGGAGAGCTGAGCTGGTTGTTCCTCTCCAGCATTTATCTCAGGGCTGTCCATGGCCCTGGACATTAGAGATTGTTGTGCCCACGTCCCTGATGAGGAAAATGGGGCCCACAGAAGTCAGGGGCCTTGCCCAGCACAGTGGAGCTGGGAGTCCAGGGCAGACCTGTCTGTCTGGTTCTGAGCTGTGTCCCCCGCTGGGCGTGTCATTCCATGTCGGGGGGAGCGGCCTGGAGGTGCTGTTTCTTGGGGACTGCCTCATGCTTCTTGGCCCAGGTGGCAGGCTGAAGGCTGCTCTCTGCAGACCTCACTGGCTTCCGGGACTCTGCCTTGTTGTCCTTTCTGGAGATGCCTGGCGGCCACCCTGGACTCTGACCAGCAGCCCGGCCTGGATCGGGAATCCTGTGCTGGCAGGTTCAGGAGTATCAGTGCACACCTTCCCGGGGCCAGGCCTTAGCCCTGTCAGCAGCACAGTCCCCACCGTAAGCCAAGGGGCTACCGTGGAGGGACTGTCCCTGGAGGACAGAGCCAGGATTTTAATTGTCTCTGAAGACCACGTGCATCTCGCTGCTCGTCTCCCCGCTCCTGCTTCGGTGGGGAGGACCTCGAAAGGCTCTCCCTAGCCGGGTGGGTCTCCATAGCCTGCGGTGCCACTGGAAGAGGCCTGGATTCCAGCCCTCCTTAGGGGCATGCCATAGGCAGCTCCTGTCACCTCCTTGAGTCTCAGTTGCCTGTCTCGGGTGGTGACTGCGGGGGCAGAATATGCGTCCAGGTCATGTGACTCTTGAGAGGCAGTCCTGGCAGATGACAGGTGCTCCGTGAGGGTGTGAGGGCGAGCGCTCCAGACCTGAACATGGGGGTGACTTGTCTCTTTCCCCCTGTCTTTCTGTCAGTGCTTTGTAGTTGCACATGGTGGCGGCGTGTGCTGTGGCGCGTCCTCGTGTGCCCGCCGTGGGACCTAGCCAGGACCCTCCCCAGCGCTCCCCTTCCTCCCCGCCTCCCCCCTGTCCCTTTCCTCCCGGGCTCCCTTCATTTTCCTGAGCTCTGCCTCTCCCGCCTCTTCTCCCTTTTCCTCTCTAGAGGAAGCGTATGGCCCTTGGTCTGGAGTCCGCTTATTCCTCTTCACGTGGTGCTGAACTGGTTTCTGCTGTGACGGTGGCCAGGGCCCGGAGCTGGCGCTGCTTTGTGTGGTTCTCCCTTCTCTGTAGCCACGAGTGACCTGCCCTCTCTGGGTGCGGGCCCCTCGCTGGGACGTCTGCAGCCCCCTCTGCTCTCTCGTGCAGGCCATCCGGGTGTTCTTCACGCTGCGCTCCCTGTCGCTGCAGCTGCGAGGGGAGCCGGAGACCCAGCTGCCGCTGACCCGGGAGGAGGACCTGATCAAGACCGACGACGTCCTGGACCTGAGTGAGTCGGCCCAGGGGGTGGGGACACAGTCACACCTCGTTGTGTGAGGATGGTGCGGGGCCTACCTCATGTACTGCCACCGACCTGTGCCTGTGAGCCAGTGCATGCTTGTCACCTGAAAGTTTTGAAGATAAGGGCCGCAGGTTCTAGGCCCGTAGATGTCAGTCTGCAGGTTCTGCTCTCTGGAACACAGGGCCCCTGCCCTCCGAACACCAGCCCGGCATGGCTTTGACTAGTGTTGTGTCTGGGCTTCCTGCGTCGTCCATGAGGGAAGGACTCTGCTCCTACAGAAAGGGAGCAGGTCAGCAGTGTTTAGGTGAGGGTGAGGCTCGGGAGGCTGAAGGACCACGTGCTCAGCCGTGACCTCAGGCTGCTCACTGGACCTGGCAGGGCCTCAGTATTCTCATCTGCAATATGAGGCAGAGATTTAAAGGAGACAGCGTGTAGAGGCCAGAACCCATCTCCTTGAAGCTTTCTTTTTCCTCCTTCCACCACGGGGCATGCGCACACTGAAGGACAACACGGTTTTCTATGAAAAGCGTTACAGCATATTACCAGTACGGAATCGTAAGCGGTGGAAAAGTAGGCTGCTCATGGAGTAAGGCAGGAGAACTGGCTGATGATCTGGAAAATCCAGGAGTAGTTCTGTGGTAAGGCACAGCTGGCTCTGAGCACTCAATACCACCAAGAAGCAGCCCCCCACCCCCGTAGTTGAACACAGTATCTTTATTTTTTTATTTTTATGTGGTGCTGAGGATGGAACCCAGCGCCTTGCACCTGCTCTACCGCGGAGTGCTCTACCGCGGAGCCCCAGCCCAGCCCTGCTTTGTATTTTACTTAGAGACAGGTTCTCGCTGAGTTGCCCAGAGCCTTGCCTTTTGCTGAGGCTGGCTTTGAGCTCGTGATCCTCTTGCCTCAGCCTCCCGAGCTGCTGGGATCCCAGCCTGAGAAGCAGCCCTGTTGACCCTCGGCTGTCCTCCCCAGGAGGGCTTTCACCAGGTGGCGGCAGGACAGCCACCAGCAGCCAAGGCTTGCTGCAGCAGCTCAGCAGCTCCAAACGTCACAGGAGCCTGGGGTGCAGCCATCGCTGCCCTGGCTTAGGTCGCAGCCCTCCTGAACCAGGCGTGGTCAGAGCATGTGCAACACTGACTGTCTCAGCGGGTCACACAGCCAGCCCAGAGCTGGGAGGGTGGGCCGTTCCTTCAGAACTCCCTAGCCTGGGCCTTAGGAAGGAGGGACCCACAAAGAGTGACCCTAAAGAGGAGGTGGGGGCTGGGCAGGCAGAAACAATGGGTGGCCATGGTCTGAGGTGATGGCATTGTTATTTTAAGTTAACTTTATTGACTTATTTAAATCAGTTTATTGGGATATAGGCTATTCACAGCAAAATCTGGCAAACTTTAGTGTATGGTTCAGAAGGTTTTGGCTAACCTCTTCAGTAAGATCATGATACGGATTCTTAAGTACTGTCTTTTGTGACTGATAGCCCTGCCCTGCTGTGCACCTCCTTAAACAGATGACCAAAACCTCCACAGCCCGTTTCCCCACCTGTAAAGTGGGGGGACCGTCAGGGCTCAGGTGTAGCTCCCTGTGGAGCGCTTGCCTAGCATTTGCGAGGCCTTGGGTGCAGTCCCCAGCACCCCATGCCCACACACTGGGGTTGGCCGTTCTTACACTACAGGTTGTTCTGAGGAGCCAGGGAAGTGTGATATGACGTGCGATGAGCAGGTGTCATACCTCGCACACAACTGTCCTCAGCAGGCTGTAGGTGGTGGGACCTGCTAGTTAAAGGCCGCCTCGCCATAAAGAGTGTGTCGCGCTGCCCCACACACCGACAGTCCTCCGTGAGCGCTGTGCTTGTTACCCTTCTGATTCCTTCTTTCTGGCCTCCCTCTGGTTCATGGTCTGTGATCTTGCCCTTTCTTTGGAGAACAAAGAATCCCTGACCTCTCTGCGCCCATCTCCTTTGGCCCTTTCTCCATTGAGAAATGGCCACAGTGATTCCTGTGAATTGATGGAGCCGGCTGGAGAGGATCTTAAGCCAGTCTTTCTCATTTTGATCCAGGAGAGGAAGGGAAACAGCTTGCTTTAAGGGGCCTTCCAGCAGCACTGAGAATGTTTTCATCCGTGAAATGGAATTAAATTTTATGCTGGGAATTCACATTCCTTCTCTCCTCCCCCTAGGAATGGCCTGCTGAAATAAAGGTTAAAAGTATTTCACTTATCAATTTTAATTGATTAGATTGCTAGTTGAGATCACTTAACTGAGCCTTTTTGGGTAGTTGGCCATTAAGAAAGTAATGGCTGTCTGTCTTTACCCAGCCTGATTGCAAATTATGTCTTTTGCTGAAGAGGGTGGCGTTCAGAAAATACTGGGATTATGGATTTTAAAAGCACATGATACTAAAATAAGAGCATGTGTTGTTGGTTGGCTTTTTTTGTTTTCTTGGGATTGTGTTACTGGCAGCCAAATCCAGGGACCCTGCCTGGATCCTAGCTGGTTGGATTTGGCCACCCAACCACATAAGAAATATGCAAATGATAGAAAAAGGAAAAAAACGAATCTAATGCAGTTTGATCAAACTGGGCAGAAGTAGCTCGATTGCTTCTCTGCGGGTCCCATAGAAGTGGTTACAATTTAAAACAACCCAAGCCAGGAGATACTCTGTGTGTGGATTTAATTAGGCTGTGCTAGACGGGCTGGGCGGGGGCACATCTCCCAGGCCCGCAGGGCAGCCCTCCAGCTTCTACCCTCAATTTGAGGAAGTTTGAAGTTAAAACAGTTTGGAGCTTTCAACTTTAAAAAGGGCTATTTTGTTTGTAAACACTAGAGCTCCTCACTTACCATGGGCTAAAAATCACCGTTACTTTTCAATGCACAAAATGCCTTCTGTGTGTCAAACTGTGGAGCATGCCGGGAGGCAGGATGGCTGGAAGTGGGCACGCCTCATCTGTCTGTGGGGTAAGGAGCCAGCTCAGGGCGAGGTGTCTGGGGCTGGTCAGCTGGTATCGCCTTCGGTACGGTTGGTGGGCTTAAAGAACCCGGCTCCACGCGGCAGGAACGGTGGCATGGAGCAGTCTTTACTGACCTCCTTGCACTTGGATAAGAAACCTCAGTGTGAGCACACTCCCCAGCAACCAGCCCCGGCTGGTCAGCTCAAGCATTTGGCACAAAAGATGGCCTCTGCCATGGAGCAGCAAAGATGTCCCCACTTAGGAAAGAAGCACCCTGGTGATGCTTGAAGGGAAGCCTGTCCTGGGTTTTGGTGGAGAGGAGGAAGCGGGAGGGCCACGAGCTGGCTGAGCCTGCTGAAGGAGGGAGAGGAGGGGAGGGGAGGGGAGAGGCAGAGGAGGAGGGAGGGGGACCAGGTGGGACAGGTGTGTTTCAGAGAGAACAGCGCCCTGACTCCGCACGCCGGCTCTTAGACTCCCGGTTGTTGACCATTTTGCAAAATTGTGTTTTCTCTTCCCACCATCATGCTTTCTGAGACAGCCCGCCCACTCAGTGCACCAAGCACACAGAAGGTGTGATGTTATTGCATCTCTGAATACTTCCCTACCAGACAAGGACTCTTTCCTACTCTCTTTAATTGAATTGGTCGCCACCATTTGCAGACCCCAAGTGCCCCCAGCCCTGGTTGCTGCTTTGGGCTGAATGTGGGGACGGGAGCTTCCCCTGGAGGTAGGGCCCATGTTCGTCCACCCGTGTGCTCTCCGCCTGGCCCATGGACAGGCGATTTGACCACCTCTGGTGTGATCGGAAATGATGAGCTTTGTGACTTTCCTAGACTTGATGCTTGTGACTCTCAGTGGCCTTGCCTTTAAAATGGCTCTAGGAGACCCTCTAGGGAGAGCTGTTGGGAGCATCATGTGTGTCAAGCACGCAGCGCTGAGCTTGGTCCAAAGGACGTGTTCCGTGAGAGCCGCCCGGCTGCGCTGAAGAGCTGGACGAGGGGCTGTCGGGCGGCTGCGCACCGAGGACCTCCTCCTTTCTTGAACCACAGCTGTACCCTGAAGTATTCGAGCCAGTCCATCGCTTGTGTGGTGGCACTGTTGGGGGTTAGGAAAGGCAGCTCCAGTGGCTTGGGCCGGAGGCCGTGTGACTCACTACTGGTGAGTCCTCTAAGGACAAATAGCCTTTGAGGAGGAACCCCAGGCTCCTGCCTGTTCCCAGATACCACAAGCCATCCCCGTACTGAAGAAATGTGCCCATTTTCCAGACGCCCTACAGAGACAGCAGGCCGCCGGGCATGTTGCGTTTCCGTTTCCTTCTGCCCCTTCACGCGGGCACTCACGTGGGCACTCACGTTCACGCAGCTGTGGCCAGAGCATGTCCTGCATGCGTGTGGAGTCTTGTGTTCTGATTTTTACAAAATCGACCCGCAAACCCCTTCAATGAAAACCCATTCATTCCTTGAGCTGTTTGTGGGTGTGGCCAACATGCTGGGAACAATGGGGCAGTGGCCAGGAGGAGCCAAGAGTCGACTCAGGCTTTCCCACAAAGTGCACTCCACCTCTGGAGCTGGCACCGCCAGGTCAGGGGTCCCAGGTGAGGTCTGGGTGTGGCTCAGCGTGCAGGACTGAAGAGCCCCGGCCTGCTGTGTCCCCATAGGCGAGCCGCCTCCTCTCCTGGTGCCTCCCTTCTGTAGGACAGTCTCGGAAGAGCTGAGTGAGCAGTGTGCGCGTCGTGCTCGGAACAGGGCCTGGCACAGCTGGAGCATGGGAACGTGGCCAGGTGAGGGTGCTGGGAGGGAGCTCAAGGAGACGCGAGGGCAGGCAGGAAGCCCCCGCCGTGGCCCCTCGGCAGCAGTGCCCGCGTCACTTCGTAGGTCTGAGAACCGTCCAGGTGATGCCTGTGTCCTTTTCCATTGACCGAGACATGTGCAACCGTCCCACAGGTGGGAGACATTTCCACTGCTACCTGCTTTAACCCAGGGAAGACTGTCGCTCCCTTCGTTGTGTGGTCCGTAAGAGAAGGTGCAGAGCCTCCAGAGAATTGC